CCTGAAAGGTCCCTTAGCCTCTCCCCTTTTTCCTACTTCCTTCCCACCCACCCACCATCCAACCTACCTATAACTGCCCTTCCGGCTTCAGTTTTCTGTCCTTTCCTCTCTCTGGCAGCCTCTGCCCAGGAAAATTATGCAAGGTGCTGACTGCCAGGCCAGGCCCAGTAGAGTGGACTCATAGTGGGGTACCTCATTCCCCCCTATATCCTCTTCTTCACACTATTCTCTTTTTCCCTCCACTTGACAACCCCCAAATGCTCACCTTTCTCTGCTTCCTTCTCTCACTCCCACCCACCCACCCACCAACCTACCTTTTATCTGACCCCCATCTTCAGATACATTATTTCATCCATATTCTACTTTATCTCCTCTATGAGTATACCAAGTACCCCAATGATGTCAGCTGGCCAAGATTTTGTAAAAAAATAGGAATTAATCATGCCCAATTGAAAAACATCTTTTTGGTAGCTTAAGTTTTTAGCACTGGAATAAAATAAACTTGGGTTCTGGGCTAGTAACTCACTCCAATGTTTAAAAACAAAATTTTAGAAATTTATTTACAAAAGATAGAAAAACATTAAAAACATACAAGTAGGGGGAAAGAATGTACACTGGGACAAAGGCAAAACAACAAACCTATCTAACTAGCATCTCAACACTGACCCTAAGCAGCTTACAGCTCCAAAGCAGACATCTTGAGTAGCAGTCCTCCTAGCAGCAATGATGCAAGAGTGGAAGTTCTGAAGAGTGTGAAGGTACTTCTTCCAACTTCACATGCTCTTCACACACCTGCATCCACCAGCATGATGTTAGTTTGTCTCTATATCACATGTGTTCTGTGGTCTGGCTTCCTCATCCTTGCCCTATATGCTAGCCCAGCTGTCACTGCTAATTGCTAATTAAGCAACCAATCCGCACGATCAATCACTTAGTCTAGCTGATCTGAGATGAGATCTAGATCACTAGCTGTCAAAACTGATATTTGAGCTGTAGATGACCAACTGTCAAACAATTACCCTGACACTTCCCAGCTGCTAGCTATTACATTATAAGCTAACTACATACAGGTGCTTCAACATGTTAGATAACGATCCAGGAAACACTTATACATGGGGTTGTGCTTTTTACAGGATGGCAATTGTCTTGCTGTCATATAGTTCACCTCGCCGCCGGGCTATCAAGGGCACTCCAACTTTAATGATCTTTCTATCGTTGGTAATGGTGGTAATGGTGGAAGCGGCAGCCCCTACATAAAAGCCTGGTGGAAGAGCTCCGTCTTGCAGGCCCTGCGGAATTGCAAAAGATCCCGCAGGGCCCTGATCTCCTCCGGGAGCTCATTCCACCAGGTAGGGGCCGCCACTGAGAAGGAACTAGCCCTTGTCGCAGCATACCGTACCTCTCGGGGACCCCGAACCACTAAACGGCTCTGGGTCCCCGACCGAAGTGCTCTTGGGGGTATATACGGGGAAAGGCAGTCCCTCAGGTAGGTCGGACCCAGGCCATAATGCAGATTTCTTACTGAAGACCTGGCTGACCGCTCTCAGCCGTTTGCACAGATGTCATACCTGCAATCTGGAAGGGTCAATGGTATTGAAAGCTATGAGAGATACAGGAGAATCAATAGAGCTGCATTCCCTCTGAGTCTCACCAGCATGATTAAGACATTTTTCAAGGCCAGAAGCTTTCACCCAGGCAGCCAGATCTACAGATAACATTGAAATGGGTGGATGCACATTTTTTGTTTGTTTGTATAATTTGGAATTACTGGTATAGCTGCCTAGAATGACCTCTTTACTAGCACAGCAGTTAGTCTGTACTCATGGGAATTCACTTGGATACACAA